TCAATGGAGCTGGTGTTGCTGCTGAATTGATGGTGGGCCGCGCAATGCACTAGACGAAGCGAGCGATCGACAGATGGGATAATGTGGTTCTTGCGTAGTGACGAGAAGGTGCGCACTTGTAGCTCATCTAAAGATGAAGGAGGAGGAGTAGCCGGAGGGGAACTCAAACTACTTGCCGAACGAGAGGAAACAGGGCTGAAGCAGCTACCGTACTGGGCCTGATTGTTGTTGATGAACGCCTCCGTTGACAGTTCAAACTGGAAGCCACGCTTCTCCAGCGTTTCGATCACTTGAGTCTTGCTGCGCAGGGGGACAATGATGTAATCCGAGAAGTAGGTCGAGATGAAGAAGATGGAACTACATCATTCCAGTCAGTGGGCTGCTCAAAATCTCGAACCGATCGGTACGTACATTCCTGCCATAGCCAGTGGCCGGGTGAGTTCCAGGACCCGCTGGCCAGCTTCCAGACCCTCGCCGTACACCTGCATGGCAATGAAATCATCGTGGCTGATCGATAGGCGACTCTGGCTGGACGAATTGCTGCGAAGGAACTTATCGACCAATGGCGCGAAGTACTGATTGGCAAGCTGTCTTGGACACATGATTGAGCATTCCACCGGGGTGATAGAGAGGTTCAAGAATGCGGGCTGCGTATGTTTGAGCATTTCGGCACGGCCGAAATCCTGGCCTTCCGTTCGAGCCTCAGTGATCGGAGACACCTCATGAAAGAGCACCTGCAGGATCGGGTTGAGGAAGAACGGGTAGAGATCCAGTGGAATATGCACCAGGGCCAGTCGATCTTCCTGTATTATTTCCACGGTGGTGGTTAGTGAGACGAGCTTGAGCGGAGTAGATGCCATGATGTGTTGTCTGGATGGAAAAGGACATGGCAAGCAGGGTGTTCGATTGATGTGGAGGATAAGTCAAGGCTCACCATGAACTGGACCTGGGCAGAGATTAGAGACAGTGATTGCTCCATCTTGCTAGAATCTGTGGGCAGAGAAGGGCCGCAAAAGGCGTTAATTCACTGTAGTGACAGCCGATGACCCGGCAAAGTAGACAGTTAAATCAGGTCAAGGTAGTGTCGGCACGATCTAATACCAGTTAGAGGTAAGAAGCGCAAATAAATAGTGTGGAGACTCACAGTATAGATCAAGATCGATCAGTAGAGAAAAGGAAAGAGATAGGAGTAGAAAGGAGCAAAAGGATCGATGAGATTTCAGTGATAAAAGAGTAGACGGCCCAGTAATAAAGTATGTATGGAGCCACCAGGCTGCGGCTGTACAGTGCAGTGCAGTGCAGTGCAGTGCAGTGTAGTGTAGTGCAGGCAAGGCAGATCAATCGCCCGGGCGATCACTTTAATCTGGGGGATTATGACGCCAGACGGAAGGTTGAGTCAGGATCCTTGGTTTGCTTTTTCTTTCTGTGCTTGAAAGACCTGAATAGTTCGTAGCCTCGATTGCTCATTGTTCTCCCACCCCTGGTTACGCCATTGTTTGAGCAGATGATATCAATTCAAGTGTAGCACGGAAGACGGGATTCAGTAGATCATCGATGCAGAAGGCAATTGAGGAGATTACGGCATGTAGGAGGAATTTGCGTCACCGTCGATTGGGTGGAGAGGGAGGGTGATTGTGGTCTTGTGAGAGGATAGAGGAGATTGAAGGTTAATTGAGGGTGAAGAAAAGAGGCAGAAGTCGAAGAAGAGGCAGATGAGGGGAAGCACCAAAAGAGGATTTGAGTTAATAGTTCAGTTGTTGCAGGAGGCAGAAGAGGAGAAGAGCTTAGTTGAGAGGTGGAAAGCAGGTGACTCGACCACCACCACGACCACCACCTCGTGGCTGATGATGCGATGCAATTCGTCTGTTCCCTCCAACCACACTCACTTACTCACTCACTCTCTTTTCTCTTTTCTCTCTTCTACTACGACACTGACTCAACTGACTCAATGTAATGGATGGATGGGTGGAGTCTGGACCAGTTCCTGTCCGGCTTCGAAAATGTGACCCTGCGACCTGACCGTTTCAGCGACAGTTCCACAGCGGATATTCGGCTGGTTGTGACCAGAGTATGAAGTAGTAATCCAGATTCTGTCAGTTACTGTTTGAGACAGCCAGAAAAGAAAACGAAAAAGAAAAAAAGAAAAGGAAGAAAAGTTTAGTTCACTGCTGATTATGACTGGCTGCAGGACAAGATAGAAACCCGACAAGAGACACACAGACACACTCGCGTTTCTTCTACCAGTCCTGTACTGTATCAGTGTACCTCGTGCGATTCCTTCCCAAGCCAAGAACGAATCGAAAAAGAGATCTGAGAATGAGTGCAGACTGACCGAACGATCTCTAGTTCTTATCCTTCTTTTTTTTTTTTTTTTTTTTCTCTTGCGCTCACACAACCTCGACAACCACAAACCTTTTTACCTAATACTTCGAATCGAGTCATTCCAACGCCCTTTTTCCGGCCTTTATCTCTGTCTCCAGCTGCCAGGCTCCACCGGGACCCAGACTGCTTATCAGTAGAACCAGCAAATCCCTTTGGATGGCGCCCCCGCGCTAGGCGCTGGTCCCGACCGAAGTGTTGCCCTGTGCTCAACTGCTCGGATGGATGATCGCTGGTTTTAGAGGGTTAAGTTTGCTGCTCTCTTTTTTTTCTCTCTGGTTGATGCCCATCAATCAGAGCGCGCGCGCGCACGGATCGATAAGCGGACGCCTCTGGTTTGGCCGCCAACGCCAGCCCTCTTCTCACGGCGCAATCACTCTCTCTCCCTCCCATCCTGCGCAAACCTTAGACAGCACCACCTCCTTACCTTCTCGGCTCCCCCGCACTTTCCAGGGGCAAGGATGTTCTTGTGTGATGAACGTGTGGGAGGAAAAAAAACAAGAAGCTGCTGGCTTACTAGTCAGGCACCACGGTCGCGCAAATCAGCCATTGATCCAGTCACACAGGGTCATCCTGCAGTGGAAATGTGGAGGAGTGGCGATTGCCAGGACAGTAGATTAGGACGCAGAGATTTTTTTTTTCTCGTCGCCTTCAAGCCTCAGGTAATTTGTCGGCTTGTGGATTGCAGCTAGAAGTGAGGGGGTGGCACTGTAGAGACTACAGAAAGGGCCGCTGAGGGAGCAAATCGAAGGAATTGTGGCACACACTGGCGTGTTAGTCTCGAGACAAGAGGAGCAAAGCGGACAATTAGTATCTGGACTGTTGAGCGGATTGTGGAGCAGTAGCGTAGCTGTCGACGGAGTACTTCTCTGGACTTTGGACTTTGGACATTGACTTGCCTCTGAGCGATATACGCCAGCCAGTCAGAGATCCAATCAGACAGCATTCAACTGTGAAATGTTTGACCTGACCACTGCATCGCAAGTTGAACACAGTCAGTCCCAAACATCGTCGCGTTTGCCTTCCGCTCCCGCTTAGAACACTTGCACATGTCATGCAAGAAACTACATACATCCTCAAACTCAGTGATTTTCACAATCCCGGACCCGAGCGACAGGCCGTATGTTCTACTCCGTACTGTGCCCAATTATATCCCAGATAGCCGTCAAAGTTTCATGTCAGGACGGAGTACAGTCGAGCGGACCAACTTTGATCCAATTTACCCGACCAATTCTCTCCATGCCCTTAACAGTCCTGGTATGCCTCCGCTTTCCGATATCCATCCTTAACCCTGCGCTTGAAGCGCAGAGTCTAAATACTCTCTCTACCTTCCGCAACCCGGATAGAGATCAAGGCAAATGCCACCCCCATGACCAGAGCAGGAGACAAACGACAACGATCTCCGCCGGCACAGCAGTATCTGGCTCCGGTTGTGGTTGGTCGTCTGAACCTTCCATCACCCACCCACCAGTCATTTTTCCTCCTCGACTACGTATGGAATAATACTAGCCTGAGGGAGATAAGTAGCGAACCCTATCTCTCCCTCCCCCCCTTCCCTAGGTAAGATATACCGGCCCATCCGGTAAGTTGTACTACAGTATGTAAGTGATACCCAATGATCACCGAGTGATCGACCCGAGCAGAAAACAGAACAATGGCCTGATATCTATCTGCCCCTCGTGCATGGATGCATGCAGATTTGTGTACTGCAGTCGCTGGACTTTGGTTCCTTAAGTTACAGATCCAGTACCGTAGTTACTAATGCACTGACTAGCTCAGCTAAGCAGGAAGTAAATAACCCCGCCACAAGCCACAAGCCACACTCCCACTTCCTTCCGCTCAGCTACCCCGTATCCTCACATCACCTCGCATCGCACCGCATCACATCCACCACAACAGCCGAATACGAGACCACCACGCAAAGAAATCAAAGTAAGTAAGCCAAAGCTGGGGAGACAGGGAAAAGGAAAAAAAAAAAAAGAAAGAAAAGGCAACCTGCCCGCAGCACAGCAGTTCATGCGATCCTTCCACGCCACGCCTTTGTTCCCACCAACCAGATCAACCAGATATCAAGCCACGATGAGGGAGGGAGAGGGGGTGGGGGAGGGATGTAAGGGTGGTGTGGTGTAGTGTGGTGTGGTGTGGCTTAGCTATAGCTGGAGCTGTAGCGTAGCTGTAGCACAGTCTGTAGCTTACAAGTTAGCAGAGCACATATCCCAAGTAGGAAGTAAGTATAACATCCCGGGGGATAATAGTACTTCGCGACGGACGTCCTGTCTGCCTGTTTCCGTTTGTCCCCTCTGGACAAGGGAGGGGAAGGTAAGAAGTACCGTGCAGATAGCTCTGCACTAGGCATCTAAATACATCCACCTACCTACATACAGCATGATTACTGGATTATCGCCACTGACTACCTCTGAGTACTGAGTACTGAGTACTGTACCTAGACACCGGCGTGGGTCCCTTGTAACTGACAGATAAGAATAGCAAGATCATCGGCTTCATTACTCAATCCCACAGATACAGTAGCTAGCCCGGGATGTCACTCGTCACCGACATAAGAATAGCAAGATCATCACTGCCACTACCACCACCCAGAACCAGTAAATAGCCTCCAGCAAGCATCATACAGCTGAACCATTCAAAGCACAAGTATCTCATGATACCTCCCGAGAGATCGTGTGCACAACAAACCCAGTTTTTAGTACCCAACCCACAGTACAATACATTGCTGGCAAGCCATCTAGCTCCCTCCAAAAAAGTCACAAGTACAAGTACAAACCCCCCCCTCCCCACTCACACTCATCCTACAATATCAACATGGGCAACCCACCATAGAACCAAAGCAAATAACAAGACACCAAAAATCACTTGCCCACACACAACCAACCACACCCTTCCTTATACAAAGCTCTAAAATCACGAATAATCATGCAAGTATAAAGAAAACGAACCTACCATTACAGCTACCGGCTAGTAGTCGCAGTATCACCACAAACCCAACCCGCCCTTATCAGCTCTCCCGAACCGGAACACATAGAACTATAACCATACGCAAAACCAACGAATCCTGTTTTCTAGCCATGATAGAGATCGGGTGACGTTTTCTGCTTCTTGCGGGTTGCTAAAGCAGAATGGGCATTGCGTTTACACCATATTATCATACATACCAAGGCAGAAAGAAAAGTATCGATGAGGCGGGCGGGCTTGAGGCCGGTCTACTGGATCGACGGATGGATAGTATGCGGATGTCTAGATTCAGGGTGTTGAGGGAGGGATGAGGAAGGCCCATGTCAACTTGAAACAGCTATCGCAGCAGTACAATGTATAAGCGGAGTCGGGATGGCATGGATATGGGTGTATCAGGGATACTACTCGATGCTAGGATATGCTATACCCTGGTTCATGACTGCAGCACGGATCCTAGGGTGAAGAGTGAAGAGGGGAAGGGGGAGGGGGAGGGGGCAAGGCAGGTTTCCGATTGAATGCATGCATGGCGTAGCCTACTTCCAGTGTCCACGGTACGTACATGCGTTGACCAACCACAGAAAAGTCAGACAGAGTACGTAGGCAGAGAGGAATCACCAGGGTGGTGCAGTGTACAGTACTGTATGTATTCTTTTGGTCTCAATCTTTTAAAAATAGCACCCGCAATACTGGCATACCTACCTAGCACGCAAACCTTTCCTACCTGGAACAAAAACAGCTCAACGCCCGCAATGCATAGCACAAATTCCGAAAGCCATAAGGTACGGTACAGTCACAACCACCACCAAAAAAAAAAAAGAGAAAAAAAAGCAAGGTATCGTATTCCCACTGCACCATTAATCGTCATCCACCCGGGGACGTTTCGAGCCACGCTCGGAACGATCGACTTCCTCGAGTCCGTAGCGCTTCTGGCCCGATGATCCCGCGCCTCCCGTGACGTCGGCGATCATGCTGTCGATACCGAAGGGGTCCGTCGTGTCCTTTTCGAACTGCACGGGACCATCGCGAGCCTAGTAGAGACAATTAGTACTTGGAGCTTGGTTACGACTAACGGGGGTAAACTCACCTCCGCCAATTCAGCGCCCTTGAAACCCTCCTTAGCGCGGCCCAGAACCTCGAACCGGCTCGACTTTTGGATCTTGCTCATCTCCTCGCCCGCGCCCTCCCCCTCGTCGTCGTCATCGAGCTGCGCACGGGGCCGGTAGATGCTGTTGATGGCGTCCTGCGCGGCGAACAGCGGCTTGTCGTAGGGGTTGTCCTCGTTGAACCCGGAGCTCATGCCACTCGTCTGGTTGAACAGCCGCGAGTCGTACATGGCCTCGGACGACTGCGTCGGCTTGGCCAGGCCCAGCGCTACCTTCTCCGAGATGTCCCGGTTCTGCTCGCGCGCCATCATCTGGATCCGACGCTCCGTGCCCATGCGCGACTGCCGCAGCTGCCGCTCCGCCTCCTGCCGCCGCTCGCGCCGCATCTGCTCCCGCTGCCGGGCCGCCCGCTCGTCCTCGTCCTCCCCGCCACTCGGCGTGCCGGACCGATCCGAATACCTCGACGGGCTGCGGCTGACACTGCGGGCGGACGGCGACCGCGAGTAGTCCCGCGGACGTCGACTGCTGCCCGCTCTCTCGTCGCGGGCCTTCTGCGCCAACGCGCGCAGATGCTCCTCCTTCTGGGCCTTCTCCTTCTCCGCCAGCTTCTGCTGCATCTGGGCGCGCAGCCGCACCTCCTCACGCGCGTGCCGGTCCGCCGTGAACAGCGCCTCAGCGAACTGGGCGAACTTATCATTGATCGTGACATCCTGCAACCCGCGACCATCGGCCGCCAACCGCTTATCCAATGGCACGGTATAACCCTTGGGATTCTTCCAATTCGACACGGGCGGGGGGATCTTCCAGGCCTCCTGATCCTCGGCGGTCAACTTGCGGGGCGGGGAATGCATGATAGGCGGCGGGGGCGAGGGCGGGCCCCGAGGAATTTTCTTGTGCTTGAACTTGGGCGGCTCCATGGGATCCTGCTGGCGCTCGACGATTTTCATGATGCGGTCATTCTTGCGCGAGGTATCCCCCATCTGGTTGTTGGCGGGCGTGTAGCGCACGAAGGTGGGCTCGGCGCGGCGGCCCCCGCGCACGTTCTTGGGCTTCTGCGCCGACACCGCCCCCTCCACCAAACTGGCCAGCGCGGTCTTGGTCTTCTCCATCTGCGCCGCCACCTCCTCCTCCGAGGGCCGGTCCAGCGACACCTCGCCCATGTCGACCCGCTGCCGCAGCGGGATCAGATCCTTGAATGAGGCGTGCACGATCCGCTGGTCGCCGTGGCCCCGCCGCGCGATCGCGTCGTACTTCACCTTCCCCTCCGCGTCCACCTGCACGGCCAGCGCGTTCGACGTCGACGCCGTCCCCTTGCGGCCCATGTCCAGCGGGTACTGCGCCACCAGGATCTCCGGGAACGCGCCGCCGTCGCCGAAGTCCTCGGGGGCCCGTGGGCGCCATCCGGCTCGGTTCTGATAGGGGGGAGGTCCGGTTCTCTAAACACAGATTAAAAAGATTTAGTATTATATCCGCGTAGTAAAGTGTAGGCAGGGCGGGTCGAGCAGATGGGTGTGGTGGAAACTCACCCGGAGCACAATCTGGGATTCATCGAGTTGGCCGGGGCCGACGACCCGGGGGCCACGGGGCTGCGCGTGTTGTGGGAGCTCCTCCTCCTCGCCGGTGTATTTCGGCTTCGGAAGAGCCTTGAAAAGCCCCTCCGCTATGGACGCCATCGTGGTAGGGGTTCGAGATGATGATGACTGAGGGATGGATGGGGGAAACGAGGTTCAGAGGTTGACTGCGTTTCGAGCTCGTCGGGATGGGAAGTTTGGCGGGCGGCGGAATTGCGTCGACGGTCACGTGGTCGCAGGGCGGTGGCCACCGGGGATTTTACTCGATACAGTATTACTTTTAACTACTCCATACTTCACTCTCCTCTTGGCAATTGAAGTTGTAGACTATGAGTATGCCGTTTGTTACCTTTGGCTACATCCTCTAGGTCAGCGGCTCGGTGTCAAGAAAATGTCTCTGTAGGGATTGATAGTAAAATTGTTCAAGACAGAGCATTATCCGGATCTTCACGTATATGCTTTATAGTACAGTACATCAAAATCTTAGATCATCGCCAGTAAAAAAGTTTTCGATGAGAGGGGAATCACTTCGCAGGTCTATCATACACAGACAGCCATCTTGGAACAAACCCATATGTATCATGGATGACCTGATGTCGGTGGGTCACGTTTACATTACAGAGTTAGAAAGTATGAAATGAACACAACAAACAACAAAAAGGCCTAATGGCCTCGCTTACAGCATATGCGATCGCATGGGGCAGGCAACACCTTCCTTATCACCCGCTTCCACATAATGTTCCTTGCCGTGGTACGTGTACCAGATCTTCAGGGTCTTGGGCAGGAGAGGTGCAGGGTCGTAGAACCCGAGGATGTGGAACTTGGCCGTGTTCTTGGAGATCACCAACTGACCGTTGTCGACCAGCGCCATGACCGGAACAGTGACATCGGCCACGTCAGGTTCCCTCTCGCTGCCATCGCTCCGCTTCTTCTTGGGGTAGTGGCCGTATTCGGCCCGGGTGATCACCAAGCCATCGTGCGCGGCCTCCCGGTCACGACGCCGCTGCACCTGATCCATCATCAGCTGGATCGCCTGCTGGCTCTCTTCCCTCTTCGTGGGGACCAGCTTCTTCAGCTGCTTCTGTCGTCGGGCGATCACCCGACGGTGCTTCCTCCGCTCCCTCGGACGGATAAACCCGAATTCCAGCGCGCAGTATGCGACCCAGGGAAGCAGGACCGCCACAGCAGCGGCATCAGCGTTGGCCGCTTCGAAGGAGCACACCGTAATGGGCAGTCTGATGTTTTGCCCCAGTCTGCTCCAGGAAATGGTCATAACCAGGCCATTCGCCGATTGGACACCAACGCCCAGCCCCATGCGGGCCAGGTCACCAACCCGACGGGTTCCCTCGATATGCCACCCAAGTGACAGGTCGAAACCGACCGTGCTCTGGATGCCAACCCTCACAGACCGTGGTTCATTCTCTTGAGGTAGGCGATAATGTCCCTCCGAGCTCCATTGGGAAAGTGATGCATCGGTGGACGGCTTGCCAGAGAAGATGTTGCGGGAGTAGTTGAAGGACAGACCACCCATCTGCGGGCTGACTGCGACTCCTACCTGCCACGCTTCAGCAGCACGGTTGTTTTTGCGGTGTTGAGAGCGGACATCCTCAAACTCGGCGTCTTCGTCCAACTCGCCGTCATCCTCATCATCGTCAATACCAGCCATATACTTGGTCGTCGGCTGAGACAAGAGGCCGAATTGGAATTGGCTCAGTTGTCCTGGGATAGAGAGGAGATGCTTGAAGTCATCTTGAATCTCGTAACTTGGGCTGAGGAGCTGGCGGAACCAAACAGGCCAGACGAGCGTTCCACTGTCCAAGTTGGCAAACACATGTTTCTGCTCGCCAATCTGCTTCGACAGCCGAGCGCCCACCATCGGCGGAGCAGCCCAAACCGGCCGTTGGAACACCGTGTTCAGCTCCAGCCGGAAAGGCCTCGTCCCGCGGACGAGAGTGAAGGGTTTCGCCCATGTGACATCGAGCTCTGGGATTGGGAGCACCGAAGCATTCACCGACAGGCCCGAGTACTGAAGGAACGACAGGGCAGGCTTGCCCAGGATGCCCTTGGAGCCGGACAGGTCTCCGAAGGCGTGATGTACGCCCACACCCAGTTGCAATTCTTTGGTCGAGATGACCAAGGGGACAGGAACCTAAACCATCAATCAGTGAGTACTTCTCGTCACACCTCTCGTCTTGAACGCTCGAACGGGAACAGGAGAGATTACCTCCACGACCTCCGGCTCCTGATCTTCGATCTGAACCTGCAACTTCTGCGTCAGATGACGAATCTTGCCCGAGATCCCGGCATTGATAACCATCTCCGGTCCATCCTCCAGCGAGCCCAGGTCATTCCGCGGTGCCGCCTGGTCCCCATCCGCCCCATTGTCTTTCTCGTTGTCATCACAATCATCCTCCGTCTCATCCTCCCCCACAATGTTCCTCCACGTCGGTAACGGCGCCTTAAAGGCAAACGCCAC